TCGCAGCCCCCTGGGGATGGCGAGGTCCCGTTTCGGTCTGCGTGTGGCCCCACTGTGCGGGCTCCCCTGGCAGCCCTCGAAAGTGGCGAGGAGGAGGATGAGGAGGAGGAGGAGGAGGAGGAGACTCCACTGCTGTATTCAAAACGAGAACCCAACCGAAGGAGGGTTGGGGAACACGTGTTTCTTTGCGGTGATGCCAGGCTTCCCGTGATTCCAATTCCGAATTTCGGGATGCCGGGGGGGAGAGGCCCCAGGGGGGGTCGAATAGCAGGAAACTTGGAATCACCATGAAACCCTATTTGTTTGTGGTGATTCCAGGCTTCCCGTGATTCACAATAATTGGGCACGTGGAATCACAACAAAAAGAATATGTCGTGGTGATTCCAAGTTTCCCGAAAATCGACCCCCCGGCCTATCCCCCACGAGCTTCCCGGAAGTCTGAATTCGAATCATGGGGAACTTGGAATCACCACAGAACACCTCTATTTGTGTGGTGATTCCAGGTTTCCGAGAATTCGAATTCAGACTTTCCAAATTTTTTGGGGGGTGAATTACGGGAAGCGTGGAATCACCACGGCATTTTTGGTTGCGATATAAATGTTCCATAGTTCGGACTTGTGGGAAGCCTGGAATCACAATAAAACACCTGTTCGTGGTGATCCTGGTCTTCCAATAATTCGACCCCTGGTTTGAGGAAGTGGGGTGTGGCAGCTTCCCAATATTCGAGAGGTTTCTGCAATTCTAATTCAGAACTTCGGGAAACTAGGGGGGAAAGAAACCCCTGGGGGATCGAATTGCAAGGATTGCGGTGATTCCAGCTTTCCCGTAGTTCTGCATTCGAATAATGGGAAGCCTGGAATCACTACAGCGTGCGGCGAACTGTAGTTATGATGTGCGTAAGACATCACTCCGCTGGCCCTCCAAGAAGCCCTCCAAAAAGCCCAAGGGGCGGCGAGGTCTCGCGGTGATCCGCGTAAGACGTCACTACGCTTGCCCTCCCAGAAGCCCACGAAAGTGGCGACCGTTTCGCAGATCGCAACCCCTCACGGGGGATGGCGAGGTCTCGTGGTGATCCGCGTAAGACGTCACCCCGCTGGCCCTCCCAGAGGCCCACGAAAGTGGCGACAACTTCGCAGATCGCAGCCCCCCCCCAGGGGACGGCGAGGTCTCGTGGTGATCCGCGTAAGACGTCACTCCGCTGACCCTCCCAGAACCCCACGAAAGCGGCGACAGCTTCGCAGATCGCAGCCTCCCAGAGGACGGCGAGGTCTCGTGGTGATCCGCGTAAAGCGTCACTCCGCTTGCCTCCTAGAACCCCACGAAGTGGCGACCGTTTCGCAGATCGAAACCACCCAGTCTCGTGGTAATCCGCGAAAGACGTCAGCCGCAGATCGCAGCCCTCCAGGCGGCGAGGTCTCGATGACGTCAGTCCGCTGGCCCTCCCCGAAGCCCACGAATGTGGCAAGAGCTTCGCAGACCGCCGCCCCCCAGGGTGCGGCGAGGTCTCGCGATGATCCGCGTAAGACGTCATTCTGCTGGCCGTCCCAGAAGCCCACGACAGTGGCGACAGTTTCCGGATCGCAACCTTCCAATGAACGGCGAGGTCGCGTGGGGATCCGCGTAAGACGTCACTCCGCTGGCCCTTCCAAAAGCCGACGAAAGTGGCGACTGTTGTTTCCGTGGGACACCCCTCCGCTGGACATCCCAGGAGCCCGCGAACCAAGGGAGGGTCGGGAATATTCCACGAGGCAGGGAGGAGGAGGAGGAGGAGGAGGAGGAAGAAAACAAGGAGGAGGAGGAGAAAGGATGGAAGAAGGAGGAGGGGGGAGGAGTGAGTGATGGACACCACGGTGCTCTATTCAAAACGAGAGCCCAACCAAAGGAGGGCTGGAAGTAAAGTGCCCAGAGACGTAGCCAACCCGTTTAAGCATGTGGTGAGTATACATACGATCGCTCAATACAAAAACAATCATTGAATGACCTGCAATGCCCTTGAACGCTTCGCCAAAGAACGTCGGGCCAGAGTCAGATGTTCCAAACATGCGGCGTCACTCTTAACAGTCAGGTCGTTGGAAGGAAAACGACCACGAGGGGGCGTGGAAACATGGAGGAAGGACGATTGGAGACATAATTCTGTGGGAGTAGCACCGCCTTGCGCTGTGTTCGCGTTGCAAGACAGCGCTCTGCAAGGGCGCCGAACAATCTAATGACGCAAGAATGCCCTTGGGAAGATTATCCGTCCTTATCCGTCCACGGGGTGACGATAAGCAACCTCATGTCTTCCGCCCTGTGCCTGACTGCCGCCGGATTGATATACCCGGCCGCCCATGCCTCATGAGACTGGTGGCGACAGTTTCACGGATCGCAGGCCCCCAGGGGACGGCGAGCTATAGTTGTGATGTGCGTAAAACGTCACTCCGCTGGCCCTCCCAGAAGCCCACGACAGTCGCACAAATTTCGCGGATCGCAGCCCCCCACGGGACGGCGAACTATAGTTGTGATGTGCGTAAAACGTTATTCCGCTTGCCCTCCCAGAAGCCTATCGCACATCACCAGGGGGCGGCGAGGTCTCGTGGTGATCCGCGTAAGGCGTCACTCCGCTTGTCTCCCAGAAACCCACGAAAGTGGCGACCGTTTCGCAGATCGCAGCCCCACCCCCGGGGGCCGGCAAGGTCTCGTGGTGATCCGTGTAAGACGTCACTCCGCTGGCCCTCCCAGAGGCCCACGAAAATGGCGACTCTTTCGCAGATCGCAGCCCCCCCCAGGAGGACGGCGAGGTCTCGTGGTGACCTGCGTAAAACGTCACTCCGCTGGCCCTCCCAAAAGCCGACGACAGTGGCGACAGCTTCGGGATCGCAGCCCCCCAAGGGACGGCGAGGTCTCGACGTCACTCCGCTAGCACTCCCAGAAACCCACGAAAACGTCGCTGCCACCCAGGGGCCGGCGAAATCTCGTGGTGATCCGCGTAAAACGCCACTCCGCTAGCACTCCCAGAAGCCCACGAAAGCGGCGACTGTTTCGCATATCGGCCGGACGGCGAGGTCTCGTGGTGATCCGCGTAAGACGTCACTCCGCTGGCCCTCCCAGAAGCCCACGACAGTGGCGACCGTTTCTCAGATCGCAGCCCCCTGGGGGGCGGCGAGGTCTCGTGGTGATCCGCGTAAGACGTCACTACGCTTGCCCTCCCAGAAACCCACGAAAGTGGCTACCGTTTCGCAGATCGCAGCCCCACCCCAGGAGGACGGCGAGGTCTCGTGGTGACCCGCGTAAAACGTCACCCCGCTGGCCCTCTCAAAAGCCCACGACAGTGGCGACAGCTTCGGGATTGCAGCCCCCCAAGGGACGGCTAGGTTTCGTGGTGATCCGCGTAAGACGTCACTCCACTGGCCCTCCCAGAAACCCACGCAAGCGGCGACCGTTTCGCAGATCGCAGCCCCACCCCAGGAGGACGGCGAGGTCTCGTGGTGACCCGCGTAAAACGTCACTCCGCTGGCCCTCTCAAAAGCCCACGACAGTGGCGACAGCTTCGGGATCGCAGCCCCCCAAGGGACGGCGAGGTCTCGTCGTGATCCGCGTAAGACGTCACTCCGCTGGTCCTCCCAGAAACCCACGGAAGTGGAGACCGTTTCGCAGATCGCTGCCACCCAGGGGCCAGCGAAGTCTCGTGGTGATCCACGTAAAACGACACTCCGCTAGCACCCCCAGAAGCCCACGAAAGCGGCGACCGTTTCGCAGATCAGCCGGACGGCGAGGTCTCGTGGTGATCCGCGTAAGACGTCACTCCGCTGGCCCTCCCAGAAGCCCACGACAGTGGCGACCTTTTCGCTGATCGCAACCCCCCGGGGGTTGGCGATGTGTCGTGGTGGTCCGCGTAAGACGTCACTCCGCTGGCCCTTCCAAAAGCCTACGAAAGTGGCGACAGTTGTCCCCGTGGGACACTCCTCCGCTGGACATCCCAGGAGCCCGCGAACCAACCAAGGGAGGGTTGGGAATATTCCAAGAGGCAGGGAGGAGGAGGAGGAGGAAGAAAACGAGGAGGAGGAGGAGAAAGGAGGGAGGAAAGAGGAGGGGGGAGGAGTGAGTGATGGACACCACGGTGCTTTATTCAAAACGAGAGCCCAAGCAAGGGCGGGTTGGGAAACAAGACTGTCGGAGTTCCGCGCGGAATTCTTGGATCGGCGCTGGGCCCCAGAGGCGCCGCCCCTAGCGCGCCCTGCGCCAGGGAGGGGGGGCCGGTCCTGCGCCGATCCAAGAGATCCGCGCGGAATGCTTATGCAGTTGCTGGGGGGGCACGCAAAGGTACCAACACCACCACTCCCCTGGCTGTCCCGGGGCGCGTTCTGATCAGAATTTCAAAAATAATCCATCCGACCAGTACGAGCCGCGGCATTGGTATCCTTTCCTCCTCTAAGCTTGTTCGTCTTCATTTTTTGAATACGTATGATTATGTGTATTCTCAATATTAATAATAAGTGTTCTTGATAGCCGTCTTCTTCTGACTAGTCTCATTATTCGTCTTCGTCGTATTCGTATTATTCCTTTTCTTCTCATTCTAATTATTCGTTGCGCTATTCGTATTAGCATCAGTATGGTTGTTTTTATTACTATTGTTAGTGCTATTACTATTACTGCTATTAGTATTTCTATTGTTAGTAATGTTTTTTATTATTACTACTAACAGTAGTGGTGTGTTGTTATTCGTGTTATTGCTATTAAGGTTGCTATTACTATTAGTAGTATTATTAGTAGCATTCGTAGTATTAGTACTATGAGTATTCGTATTATTATTTCTATGTTTATTTTGATTATTATGAATGTTAGTATTAACATTCTTATCATTAGTCACACTATTAGTATTATTAGTTTTGTGTTTGCTAGTCTTATTAATATAATAAGAAGAATAATAGGTATTAGTATTATTTTTTTTTTATAATTATTAGTAATATGATTATTCGTAGTACTAGTATTAGTATGAATATTATTTTTATTATCCCTATTACGATTATTAATATTATTATATCGGTGTTTATCGCGCGCCCCTGCGAGCCCAGCCGGCGCCCCCCGCGCTCCGCGCGGCGTCCGCCAGCGCCCTCCGCGGCGCGGCCGCGGTCGAGGAGCGCAAACGCTGGGCCCTGTCGCGGAGGGCGGCGGCCTCCTGGTGCTCCGGGTGGTCGTCCCCGAACAGCAGCGCCAGCGCCTCCGCGGCGGCCGCGAGCACCTCCTCGGCCTCCGCGAGCTCGGCGCCGCTGCGGGCGGTGCAGAGGTCCCGGCCCAGAGCCACCTGTGGGGAAACAGGAAGACCCCCAGATCCTGGCGTTGCGTTTTTTGTCGCGACAGGCGCGTTCGACGCATTTCGGGCCCGGGGCTCTCACAGATCGATCTGGCTCGAAAAGATGAAATGGAGGGATGGGGTCTGGGGCTCTGGTCGTGATTTCTCACGATGTTGCGAGTTTTCGCCACGTCGGGTCCGAGGGGATACCGATGCAGCTGCTCGCCCTGTAGGGCCCTCATCGTCACGGCAGAACTCCCGTCGAACTGATGGTCAGAACGCACCCCGTGAGAGGTCCGCGGGGTGCGTTCCGACCAGGATTCCGATGAGAATCCAGCCTTGGCAACGAGGCCCTCCAGGACGAGCCGCGGTATCGGCCTCTCCTCCTCCTCAGGAAATCCAGCAAGGAGGAGAGAGGAGAAGGAGGAGGAGGAGGAGGAGGAGGAGGAGGAGGAGGAGGAGGAGGAGGAGGAGGAGGAGGAGGAGGAGGAGAGAGGAGGAGGAGGAGAGAGGAGGAGGAGGAGGAGGAGGAGGAGGAGGAGGAGGAGGAGGAGGAGGAGGAGGAGGCCTGGAGCCGCGCCCGCCGCGTGGCGGTGTGGGGCCCGCTGGCCCGCAGCGCGGAGCAGGCCTCCCGCAGCAGGCCGCGGGACTCCTCGCCGGCGCCCGCCTCGGCCGCGGCGGCGGTGCGGGCGGCGTCCACGATCCAGTGGGTGCGCGCGAGGCCCGCGGCCAGCGCGCGCTGGAGCAGGTCCGCCGCGGGGGCGGGAGCGGCGGCCTCGGGGGTGTCCGAGGTGCCGGCGTCGTGGTGGAACTCCGGCCTGCGCGGCCGCACGCAGGCGGCGGCCCCTGTGGGCATGGAGTGGCCCAGGGCGCGCGGCTGTCGTCGCGGGCGGCAGACAGATCCGTGACTGAAGGGGCCCTGGGGACGCACAAAGAAATAGACACAAATAACAGGATCCCCAGTATCTTCTGATATTTTCGGTGTTCTTGTTTGTCTGCAACCCCCCTTCCCGTGTTTTCCTATATTAGAGGGAAAAGAACTATGCACATGCACCGATTCTGGCCAGGCCCATCCTGAGCCCAGGATCGGTGCATACGCCCTCCTACCTTGGCCAGGAAGGCACATGCACCGATCCTGGGTCAAAAATGGGCCTTGCCAGGATCGGTGCATGTGCACAGTTCTCTTCGCCCGATATATTGTCGTGGAAATCGACGATTCATTGTGTGTAGGATTGCACAAAAAACCCAGGATTGCACAAAAAACCAAGGATTGCACAAAAAACCGAAGGATTGCACAAAAAACCCAAGGATTGCACAAACAACCCAAGGTTTTTTGTGCAATCCTTCGGTTTTTTGTGCAATCCTTCGGGGTTTTTTGTGCAATCCTTCGGGTTTTTTGTGCTTTCCCTCCTCAGTGGCCACGGCCTCGCGGGCCGAGCCCCCTGGTAGGGAAACGAACTCTCTATACACCGACGCTTTTGTCCGACCCTGCGCCGGAACTTGCGCAGGACAGCGGATCCCCGTGTGTGCGGGGTCCTGGTGCATACATGTTCCGTGGTTTCCCCCAGGAAGCGAGGGGAAAACAATACACACCAGTAGGGAAACGAACTCTCTCTATACACCGACGCTTTTCCCGACCCCGCGCTGGAACTTGCGCAGGACAGCGGATCCCCGTGTATGCGGGGTCCTGGTGCATACACCCTGCGAAATGCTTAAGAGATCATGGGTTAAGAAATTCATAGTCTCAGAATTTTAATAAAAACCCAGAATGTCTATTCAAATCTTAGGATTTACATTGAAACATTAAGAATAATCGAGACTCTGGCCGAAAATTTAGGTTTTCTTAAGCATCGCCTAAGGTGTACATGTTCCGTTGCTTCCCCCAGGAAGCGAGGGGAAAACAATACACGCCACACCACCCCGACGTCGCCCCCGACACTCAGAAAGTCCTGGGATTGAAAAGCAGCCCGCACGCTCCAGTTTCCGACATATCCGTAACCACCGCCTCGCGGGCCGCGCCCCTGGGCAGCGGCTCCGTGGGCACTCTTCGATGATGACCCTGCGCGGAGCGCATCCGTGCGGCCGCGCATCCACGGCACCGCGCCCCGGAATCCACGCCGCGAAGGCGTGGATATCGATACGCTCGCCGCTCGTGATTCCGGGGGTCGCGGAGGGGGGGTGGACGGGGACTGGCCATCGCTCGGATGTCCATTCCCTGTGTTTTTTGCCAGCTTCGTGCGTGGCCTTTTCGCCCAACGATCAAAGATGTTCCTGGATGGTCCTCGCCGAAAGAAAAATGCACACGCCCGAGCGATGCCGAGCGGAAGCGGAAGCGGAAGCGGACCTGCGTTTGTGTACGCCAGCGGGGGGGCGTTGCAGGCGGGCGCCGTGGCGCCGAAAGAAAAGCCGCGGCAGTCCCTGCGCGTGCTGGCCAGTGGGGACAGTGCAAACGAAAGGGGAGGAGGAGGAGGAGGAGGAGGAGGAGGAGGAGGAGGAGGAGTAGGAGGAGGAGGAGGAGGAGGAGGGGAGGGACGCGCGACGAGCGGGCACGGGAGGCGAGGCCGAGGGGGGGGACCAATCCAAGAGCCCATGGCCCCCATCACTCGCCAGAGCGCCCGCGACCGGCCCCGCCCCGCGCCCGCTCCTCCCCCCCGTGGTCACGGCACGATTCGCGCCCTAAGCCGGGCCTGTCCCTCTACAGGAAGAAGATTCCAAAATGGTGAAGAAAATCTGGGGGCGATTTTTTGCTTTCTTTGATCATTTGGTGGTATTTTTGGGGCATTTTCTACTTTTCGTCCAACATCCCCCTGTAGGGGGACAGGCCCGACTCAATTCGCGGCGGCGCCGCCTGGAAAACAGCCACCCCTGGGCATTCCCAGACGGCGCCAGCGCGAATCGTGACGTGGCCGGCCTCCTCCCCTCCCCCTCCTCCTCCTCCCTCCTCCTCCTCCTCCTCCTCCTCCTCCTCCTCCTCCTCCTCCTCCTCCTCCTCCTCCTCCTCCTCCTCCTCCTCCTCCTCCTCCTCCCCCCCCTGGGTCGCGCTCGTGATCGCCAGGGAACCGTAGAAGAAATCGCTCTCCGAGCGCGCAGTCCAGTGCTGGGGGGACCTTCGGTGGCAGCATTTTGTCGGCTCTTGCGAGTCGACGCTAATCGACGCTGGCCGACGCTAGATCGACGCTAGATCGACGCCAATCGACGCCCAATCGACGCTAAATCGGCGCTGCCTCATCCACTCCCAGACGCTAATCGACGCTAGTCGACGCAGCCCAGTGCTGGGGGGGGACCTTCGGTGGCAGCATTTTGTCAGCTCTTGCGGATCGACGCGAATCGACGCTAGCCGACGCTAGATCGACGCTAGATCGACGCTAGATCGACGCCCAATCGACGCTAAATCGGCGCTGTCTCATCCACTCCCAGACGCTAATCGACGCTGGTCGACGCTAGGTGTACCCAGACCCCCGACACCATGACTTGTTCATGACGTCGACCCCCAGGGGTTTGGACTCCTTCCCCGAGACTGGCTTTCCATCCTGAATCGTTTCTTCACCGTCCCGAGGCCCGGTAAGGGCCCCCGGAAGCCGAAAATAGCAAAAAACCTTCGTCGTGCTTTTGTTCGCAGCGCGAAGGGTACCAGACGCCCGTGCGGACCCACGTAGGCGTAGGTGTGGCACCGCGGTGATCACCATGCAGCCTGATGGCCAGGGGGGCTGGAGGCTGGCGTGGGGGTTCTCGACCCCCGAAGGGGGGCAGCGGCAAACGGTCCCTCCGTCGGAGCTGCTCGCGTTCGCCCTCGCGTTGGAGAATGCCCCCGCGTGGTTTCTGTTCGTGACTGACCACGAGCCTCTCATGAAAGCATGGGGGCGAGGTCGGCAGTTCCAGAAGAACGGGTCAAACCAAGATTTGTGGTCTAGAATTCGGGTGACCGAAGGGGGGACCCATGCAGAAAACCTCCGTCGTGATTTTGCTCGCAGCGCGAGGGGTACCAGACGCCCATGAACTGCTACCGTTAAGTCGGGCCTGTCCCCCTACAGGGGGATTCTGGACGAAAAAGCAAAGATACCCTAGAAATGCTCCAAAGATACTCAAAAATACTCCAAAAATAGTCCCCAGACTATTTCGTAGACTATTTTTGAATATTCCCCCTGTAGAAGGACAGGCCCGACTTCACCGCAGGGGGGACCCCATGCGCCACAGGCCACTCCCCCAAAAATACTCCCACACATGCTCGAGAACACTCAAGACATGGCCTCCCGACTATTGTTGGACCATTTCTGAATCTCCCTCCTGTAGAGGGACAGGCCCGACATAATTCGGGGGAGCGTAAGACCCGGGTTTGCCAGGACTCGGGTTCGCCATCGTTTTTTGACGACCGCGCCTCGGATTTTGACGAGGAGGAGTTTCGTGGGATGTCTGCAGCGGGAGGCCTCGTCAAAATGCAGGCTCGGCCTCGTCATTTTTTTGACGACCTCGTCGGGGATTTCCGAGTTCCCTGTACCCAGGTCTTACGTCCCCCTGAATAATGCTGCCGAAGGGGGGGGCCCGTGCACCACAGGCCACTCCAGCGAGGGGGCCCCTCCTGCGCGCCGGCCGGCCTCCCGCGGGCCCACGGCCGCAGGCTGGCCTCGGCGCCCAGCAGGGGCGCGGCCTCCTCCTGAGAGGCAGCGCCAGCGGGGGGGGCTGGCACAGGGTTAGGTCGGGCCTGTCACCCTACAGAGGGATTCTGGACGAAGCAATTAAAAATACTCGAAACGTATTCAAGATATGCCAAACAAATGCAAAAAAAATAGTCCCAGGACTATTATTTGCCTATTCTTGCATATTCCCCCTGTAGAGGGACAGGCCCGACTTAAGCATACGGTCAACCCGTATAGTAAGGATGCGCGGTAAAGATGCAAGGGCCTTGGAGTGCCACGTGAACGTTTTTCCGAGCGAGGTTGGCCAACCAAAGCGGCCAAGGATAGACCGAGGAGGCAAGGATGCAAGGGTACCCTTGAGAAGGTTGCCCATCCTTACTATGCTGGTTGACTGTAGGGTTAGTTCGGGCATTTCCTCCCACGGGCGGGCTTTGGAATAGAAATGAAAGGTAGTCAACATATCAAACACTTGGCAAGAGAGCACGAACAAGCGTCCCCAGACGATTTTTTGACTATTTTTGATGATTCCTTCTGTACACGGACATGCCCGACTTAAGCATGGTGGGGATGCATCGACCTGGAATCGACGATCCATCGTCGATAGATCGGCGATGGGCCCCCAACAGTGAAACCGTACCTTCCTGGGCGGGTTGGGGCTATCGGGCCCCATATCGGCGATCAATAGGCGATTGGGGGTCGATGCATTCCTCCTCCTCCTCCTCCTCCTCCTCCTTCTCCTCCTCCTCCTCCTCCTCCTCCTCTTTCCCCCCCTGTACCGATCCCCCCCTGTCGTTGGCACTCGCTTCCTCGCTCAGCACCCCGCAGGCCTCGCTGACGAGGCTGGCGCCGTCGGTGCTGGCGTAGGCCGCGCCCCCCGACCTGGGGCACGTGAAGCTCCGGGCAGCATCGAGCGGAGCTGCGCAGCGCTCGCAGCGGCACAGGAAGCCTTTGAAGGGGAACTGGGGCACACAAATAAGGACACGCAAAATTGCCAGATTCCCTGTGTTTCCACATTCTTTCTGTGCTCTTGTCTTCCCCCCCACTTCCCATATTTTCCTATATTTTCCGGGGAATCGACGATTAATTGTGTCCGTGTGTTTTCTTCCCTCCTGAGCCTTTCGTGGCCGAGAGGATCGCTCTTCGGTCGCAGGTCGGCAGGCAGAGGTCGAAGGGGCCGAGGTAGGGAATCGTAATCTCGTCGCCCTGCTCTATCCAGCCCCGCGCGTGCAGCATGAAGCTGTCCGCCTCGTCCAGGTGCCACGCGGCGTTCGCGTTGCACGAGTGCGACATCATCGAAGCGGCCAGGTACATCGCGCCAGCCTCTAAGGCGTCGTCGGCAGAGCCCTGGTCGAAGGAGTTGTGAATCCACACCTGAAGAAGCCGTTCCAGCCGCAGCGGGTCTGGCCCGGCTTCAGGTTCCCACATCCTCTCGACGATGGACAAGACCGGGGCCGACGGCACCTGGCATGATTCCTCTGGCGCGTGCAGCCTCAAGGCCTGCGCCTGCGTTTGGGACGGCACGGACGGCCAAGCCTGGCAGCGTGCACACGCGATCTCCTTGTCTGTCAGTGAACACAGAGCGGCCCAGTAGAAGAATGGTGCAAATTCCAAGGCACCCTCCTCCTGCATCCTGATCAATTCTGCATAGGCGGCCTCGCTCCTGTTTACGGCCACCTGGACAAGCGGGTACTCGAGCAAGATCCGCTGGCCGGGCTCGAATTCGCACGCAGCGAGGAGGATACGACCCTTGCCTTCAGCTGCTGATACCAACACGGTGTCGCCATGGTAAGCCTGCACATGTTTCACCAGAAGCTCGATGTCTTCTTCAGCCACCGCGCTGCCATTGCTATCAACCCTATCGCACGCGGACTGGCATGACATGAGAGCCCTTGAATGTGGCAGGTCTTGAGATGAGCTGCAATCTTGATTGTTGTGTACGCCATTGCTCCCCCAGATCTGTGACATCACGAGAATGACAAGAGCACGCTATAGGCACGACCCCTTCCTTGTTCCACTATGCTTGATACCACCAAGAGTGACAACATCTTCAGGAAACTGCCGCTCACCCAGGCACTGAAATATCAGACAATAACTATCAAATCTGCATGGTGAAGAATACGCCATCGTCAGACATCTAGATCGGAACCCCAAGACCCCACCTTTCTGCGGCACTCCTAGCGCCAGATCGATCCGCGGAGGCCCCGGGTGCAGAGGAATTGCGACGCCAGGGCCTCGGGGTCAGCAGCACCTCGTGGACCCGCACCCAAACCTAGACATCCGACGGCGTGATTTCTTCCATGCGCGGCCCCGAAGAGGTCCCCGATCCTCAGGGTCGTGCTTCGCCCCGGTGCCATGCTCGATCGCCCTGGGTCCGATAACGGGCCCTGGGGGCGTAGAAATGCCCCCAGATTAAGGGGAAAACAAACCTACCTCGCTTTTGACCACCCTCGCTTCCAAGAGATACCAAACGATGCCACATTGCAGCCTGTACTGGTCAGGCCGCTTGACGAGGAGGCGCGTGGTATGGCTTGGTTTTGCCTGGAAGCGAAAGCGGGGTAGGTAATTCACGCTCTGACAGATGGCCTCCGCCCGCAGGAGACTTTGGCTGTAGGCCATATGTCACCCTGGTCTCCGGCGGCCGCTCGGGGCGCTCCCGGCGTCCCTGGAGTGCTGCCTGCGAGGCGCAGCCGCTGGAGAGCGCCCCGAGGCGAGACGCCCCCCCGAGAGCAGAAAACTCCAGCACCTTGCAGCGCGCTGCCTGGCCGCTCGGGGGCCAAGCACAATACCAGTGACACGCCGCCGTGGGGAACCCATCAGCGTCGCACCGTCGAAGACGCATCGGGCCCTCGGGCCAGATAGATCGAGGGAGCGACGCGCCGACAGGCTAAGCAACGGCAGCGTGTCATTGATGCCCTTTCTCCCTCCCGCGCCGCGGCAGGAGGAGAGCCCCACCTTGGCAGCGCAGCCAGGCCGCTGCGGGCTGGAAGGCCGGCTGGCTGAAGATGGAGGGGGAGGGGGAGATGGAGGAGGAGGAGGAGGAGGAGGAGGAGGAGGAGGAGGAGGAGGAGGAGGAGGAGGAGGAGGAGGTCCGCAGGTGCAGCGACCGCGCTGCGGAGCTTCTCAAAATTCATGTAGTGCGCCAGGTCGTCCTTGGCGTCGCAGCCGAAGATGCACGGCCGCGGGGCGATGACGTGCATCCTGCCCGAGGTGATCCAGCCGTTGGCCGCCGCGCGGAGCCGCGACCAAAGCCATGACGGGCGAGCAGCACGCAGCACAGCTCGGAGCTCCAGCCAGCGGCCGCGCAGCTCCTCAGAAGAGATCTCGATGCCCCAGCGCCGCAAGCGGCGGCCGATGAGGAGGTCGAGGCGGTCGTCGTAGAGGCCACCCCTCAAGGCGATCATGGCCGCGGCCTGACGCTTGACCTTCCTGGGCGGGGCGGCAGCGGCGGCCGCCAGCTCCTCGTCGACCATCGCTCGGCGGGCCGCCTCGACGAGGGCTGGCGGGACAGGGGCGGGCAGCTTGTCGAGCTCAGGGCGCGGGTGCGGGAGGGCGCGGAACTGGTCCATCACGAGGCCGTAGTTCTGGACGATGGCACGCTGGGTGGTCCACCATGGCGGTGACCACGAGCCCCGAATCACACGAACCAGCGGGAAGTGCACCACCGCCGTCTCGTGCAGCGCGCGCAGCACATGGGCCCAGCCGCGCACGGCATGGGCCGCCGCGCGGAGGATGGTGGCGACAGAGTACGGGAACACGCCCACAGGCGCAGGAGAGCCGCACCACGCACCCAAGGCGAGGATGCCCGCATTGCGCATGGACGAGGGCGGGAAGCGCAAGAGGCGGTGGAGCATCGTGAACTCGATCCGCCAGATCTCGGGAATGAGGAAGAAGAGCTGGGCCAGATAGGAGAGGCACGGGAGCACATTCACGTTGCAAGCGCGGGCGGCAAGGCTGGTCGCCATGCCCGCGCGGCTCAGCTCCGCAACCCGCGACCACCACTTCGCGGCCGCATCCTTCCAGATGCCCTGCTCCGAGACGCCTGGTCCGATGCGCGTGCCCAAATACATGGCGGAGGAATCGGTGCGACAGCCCCTCCAGCTCGGGGCCAGCTCGGCCAAGTACTCCTCGGTCTCTTTGATCGGGCTGGGAGAAACCTCGGCCCAGAGCGGGACCAGCGCGCGCACGTGGATCGCCAGCTGCAGGTTGAAGGCGAACTCGCTGTCGTCGAAGGACGCGGCGATGGGCGGGAGGATCCTGGCGTTGCGGATGAGCATGCCAGGGGCGCCCGCGCACGCTGCGAGGCAGCCTTCAGGGGGGGTCTCCCAGCGCCTTGATCAGCGCGCGGATCGGAGCATCCATGCCCAAGCACCAGACCGCGCCAGAAAGGGGGCACCCCTGCATGATGCCGCACCTCAGGACAAACAGCGGTTCCATCGCCGCGCTGGCTCCCGAGGCTCGGAAGGAGCTGAAGGCAAGGCAGTTGCAGCACAGCGCCGAGACCACGTTGCAGAAGACCAGCGGGGCGCCGCACCTCGGCAACACCATGTCAATGACGTCGCGGAAGAGGGGCGGGAAGGCCTGGCGGAAATCGTAGGAGAACAACATCGGGCGACGCTGAGCAGCTCCAGGAAGGAGACCCTCGCGAGGGCACTCCGCGTCCAAGAACGGGATGCGGTCTGGGGACGTAGCCAGGAGCCGAGTTCCTTCCCGGCGAGAGGAGGTCGACCCGTCCGGCGTCGGAGCCCGACTACTGCCGGACAGCTCTTGGCGGCTGCACACCGCTGCCGGAGCAGGGTTTAAGCTGATTTTACACTGCCCAACGAGATGTAGATGCGCATATACAGAGGGTTCACGTTTAGTATAGATTTCAGCGCGCAACTGAGCTAAACGGACCGATTGTTAAGTTAACGCACGTTTGAATTGAATTGAATTGCTCCTGACCGCGCGCGCATCACATGGCCGAGCGGGCGCAACGAACACGCGATTCGCACGTGCGCGTGCGCAGCAGCGGCGGCGACGACGAATGACACCGACGGCAGCGGCGATTTTGACGACGGCGACGGCGGCGGCGGCGACAACGACGGCGCGAAACGAAGACCCGACATGAGAGATGACGACGACGACCACCACGATTCGCTGCGATTCGCCTCGCTTCGACCGCCGACGGCGGGCAAGGCGGGGCGACTCGCAGCGACGACGACGACGACGACAGCGACGACCGACGACGACGACGGCAGCGACGACGACGACGCTGTCAGCGCAGCACTGGCGACGGCGTGCACGTTGAAACCTCGACGACGACTCGGCGACTGCGACGGAGGCGACGACGGAAGACGGCGACGAGAGACGACGGCGGCGGTGGCGAGGCGACTCGGCGACGGCGACGGCGGCGACGACTCGACGACGGCGACGGCGGCGACAACGACGGCGACGACAGCGGCAGCGGCGGCGGGACTACGTCGACGACAACCGCGACGGCGGCGACGACGGACGGCGGCGACGACGACGGACGGCGGCGACGACGGCAGCGTCTGCTCTCCGCGCTTCTGTTTCGGCACAACGCGGCCTGCGCCGCGCCTCCTCTGGGGCAGAAGCCGAGCAGGAGGCCGCCCCCGCTCCGGGGGCGCAGGAGGCGGGGGCGGAGTGAGTGAGAATCGGAATGAGGATGAGAACGATGAGGATGAGCCAGGACGAGAACGATGGAGGAGTGGAGGACGTCAGAAGGGAGGGGGGCCTCAAATACGAGAGCACGGTTGGCTCCTCCGAAGGACTAAGCTTACTCTCCTCCTCCTCCTCCTCCTCCTGCGACTCCTGCTCCTCCTCCACTGCTCCTCCGCCTCGTTTCTCATCCTGCTCTCCCCCATCCCCCCCCCCTCCCGCAATCCCGCCTTCGCTGGTAGGCAGTGGGCGCGAGTGGACGGGGAGCAAACAGAGGTTGGCGAGAAGAGCATCGACGGGAGAAAGAACTGTGCACCGGAGGGCGAGCGGCCTTCTCCACGACAACCGCGAAACGAAACAGAGCCGCCCAGCGTGGCGCCGAACGCTCCACGATCCAACTGGCGACTGTTGTAATATTATTAGTTTGTTGCAACAGTTGCAACCTTGCGAACGTTGCGCGCTCGATGTCCAAGGTGGGCGGTGGTTAGTTGAAGGTGGCGGGTTGGCTTGATATTGAAACTTGCTTAGCGCAATTTGCTTCTGAACCTGGGTGCAACACGTGATAGCTGAGGAACAAATGACAACACTTAAAACAAACAAAACACAGCCAACCGCACATACCTGGACGTGCGCATGCTGCTGGTCCACGCGGCAGCCCCGGCGCCCCCCCTTAGGAGAGCGCCCGAACATGCAGGCGTGGCGCTGAATGCTGCTGCGCAACCTTGCCGCCCGGGCTCCGGCGCCCCCCCTCAGGAGAGCCCCCGAGCATGCAAGCGCGGCAAGACTCAGCCACCAGCGGCGGCTCCGGCCCACCCCCCTCCCCCCACGGGAAGGCGCCCAAGCGCGCGGATGGCAACTTAGAGAAAGGAGAAGTCGGCCGAATGAGGAGGAGAGGAGATAAGATATTGCGAGGCTGAGTAAGATGAAGGGGAGGAGAAGGAGCAGGCGGAGAACAGAAACGGGTGCGTGTTATTTTGTTATGGTTTCTCGCGTTATATACAACGCCCCGCGCCAGCCCCGCGCGAGCCCCACGCGGGCCCCGCGCGAGCCCCGCGCGAGCCCCGCGCGAGCCCCGCGCGAGCCCCATGCGAGCCCCGCGCGAGCCCCGCGCGAGCCACGCGCGAGCCCCACGTGAGCCCCGCGCGAGCCCCACGCGGGTCCCGCGCGGGCCCCGCGCGGGCCCCGCGCGAGCCCCGCGCGAACCCCACGCGAGCCCCGCGCGAGCCCCACGCGAGCCCCGCGGGAGCCCCACGGAGCCCCACGGGAGCCCACGGGAGCCCCACGGGAGCGCCTCGCTAGCCCGAAGAGGAGAGGAGGAGGATTGAGGCTGAGTGAAGAGAGAGAGAGAGAGAGTCGGAGGAGGAGGAGGGAGAAGGAGGAGGATGAAAATGAGAGAGGCGGGGGAGGCTGCGGAGGAGGAGGAGGAGGAGGAGGAGGAGGAGGAGCGGAAGGGGAGCAGGAGGAGAAAGAAGAGGATCAGGAGAAGCAGGAGAGGGAGAATGAGAGAAGGAGGAGGGAGGAGAGAAACGATGAGGAGGAGAAGGAAGACGTGGAGGATGGGAGAGAGGATAAAGAGGAGGAGAGGAAAGGGAGGATCCCGGGGAGGACGACGAGGAAGAGGCCCGAGGAGGAGAGGGAGGAAGAGGAGGAGGAAGAGGAGGAGGAGGATGGACGGCCAACGACAAGGACCGTGCACGTAGGTGATCGCATTGATCATCAGAAGTGAGGCGATGCGGGCACGGGGAGAAGGAAGAAGGAAGGAAGAGGTGGAGGCGACGGCGGATTGGGAAGTAAAGCCAGAGAGTCGAGGGAGGAACAGTTGGCAAGCGGCTTACGCGTGAGCCATGCAATGCGCGCCTGCTTGCGCAAGCGGGCTGCGCTGGCTGCCGTTTTTCCTATCAGGCTCGGCCTAACCGACTCCTGCGACCGAGCCTCTTCCATAAATGCCCATGACGACCCCCTCGCCTCGCCCTCCACGTGACCGTCGTCGTCACGCGTCTTGAAGCGAGTCGAGGGGGCGTCGTCATGGAAAAGGTCTGTCTGCTAGAGTCGGCCAGGTCGCCTGGGGCTTTGACAGCTGGGCTCAGAGACGACGAATATTCGGCAATCCGATCCGTCTGCACGCGTGGCCTTATGCATGCGCGCTGAATTGGTGTTCACACCCTCCCCTCATGATGCTCCTACTTATCATCAGTCCTAGCTCACTCTCCCGTGCTCGCTACTACTATCTTCTTTTTAAGCTCCTAACTCCTCTCCTCTCCCACCTCCCTGCTCCACCTCTCGGCCCCCCCGCCCCCCCTTCTGCCCCTGCTCGCCCTGCCCGCCGACGAGCCCCCGCTGGAGGCCATGCTGGGCGCCGCCTACGCCGCCGCCGACGCGGTCGACGACGCGGCGCCGCTGTCGAGGCCAGGCGCCCCTGCGACCACCCCCGCCGCAGCCGTCGAATTAACGCGCATGCGCTGCGGGCTGAGAATTGAAAACGGCGCCTGGGGAGTCAAAGGGGACCCGTCGAAAGACGGCTGGCCAGACAGAAACAATGACCCTAGAGAAACGAGCGAGCTCGCGCCTGCAGACGTCGTGTCGGGCCCCAAAGTCTGACTCTTGTCAACGCTGCTGGGGCTGGGGCTGCCAGCCGCCGGAGGGCCCTCAGGGGTATCGACCGATCGGCGGCGCTTCGGGGGAGGCGGCGTCACTGGCACATTTCCCGCGAAAGCGCCCTGCTGCGCGACAGGCATCGGGGCGCCCATCGCTTTCGGCACCTCCACCGCGTGCCCGAGCGATAGCGTCGGCGACGTAAGATGGTGGATGGCACGGCTGAAAGGCGAGACCGCGTCGGCGGCCATGGCCGCGCCACCGCTGCTCATGAGCGCGGCGCGGCCAGGCGACGACGCCTCGTTGAAAGCAACAGCCGACGCAGGGCGAGGGCTATCAGCAAAAAGAGGGATCACTTCTGGATCAAACTCGACAGTATCAGCAGAAGCAGCAGCAGCAGCAGCAGCAGTTTGCGGTACAACAGCAGACGCTGACGTTGCGCCTCCAAGCCCTGGCGACCCTGACGCCGGGGGGCTCGCTGGGCCGCCGGAGCCAGACGCCCCGCTGGATCCAGAAACAGACCCCGTGCCAAAAAGGCTTCGCAAGCCATAGCGGCGCTCAGTGACTGACATCAAGTCCGTGAGGGTAATGATCGGAAAACGTTTTGACTGGTAGGTCCTGGCCCCCATCGATGGCAAAATGAATAGAGACAAAAAGATGCCTGATCCGATCGCCGTGACGTTCATGGTGTTGCCGAGCTGGTTAGTCATCGACCTCCGGGCAACTCAGGGGATGGCGGGGTGGGGAAATAGATAGGATAATTGACAATGGTCTGGGGCGGATGGCGGAGCAAGGGGGGGGGGACGAGGGTAGTCGAATGGTGACAGGCACGAGCACGTCAGAGAGTGCATCCACAGAGCGCGTTGTCTAAATCGTACCAGATCACGTAGCAAGTGGAACTAGTCTTTCTCTGGGCGCCCAACGATCCCAAACCCATCTCCACCTCAACGCCTCACCTCACCCTCCAAATGCTCGACCTCCCCCCGTCCCATCTATGTTCCAATTTAGTCTTGCCTCCTCCTGG